GATGGTTAAAACGATGGAGGCGCGAAGCAGAGGATAAAATCTAAAAGTGGAAAGAGAGAGTAATAAATAATAATAAAAAGAAAAAAACAAAAGAAAGAAAAGAGAAGGGTGGGCCCCACAATAGTAATAAATAATAATGACGATACCACCCTCTCTCAACGCCTCCTTCTTACATTTCTTGGATCTCTCCTCTCATCAAAGCACAAGAGTTGCGCATTCTTTTGTTGCCTTCATTTTCATGGCGCTCTTAACTTCCCACCACAATAAACGCCGAAAAAGGCACAAAAACCCATCACCGCCGCCGCCGCCGCCGCCCTCCGCCCAGTCGTCATGGGACCAGATCAAGAGCCTCCTCACCTGCAAACAGGTGCGTCCCAACTTTTATTGTCATTTTAGGTTATGTTAATTTAAAAAATTTTAATTGATGATGCCCTTGCCAGATCGAGACTTCGAGAGTTCACGAGCCGGTGAAACGCTCGCCGGCGTACTCGAAGTTGGGGTCTTCTTGCAGCTCCATATGTAGCTTCAGAGACGTGGTTCATGGCAATGCCAAAGTGGTTCATAGAGCCGACAACTCTCCCGAAAGCAGCTCCGTCGGACAGGAAACCAGGTTGCTTCATAGAAAAGCCCCAAACGGTTCCTCATCTCGTTCTTTGACGGCGCCGACACCTGGCAGAACCAAACACGCTGCTTCAGCTTCTGCTTCTGCTTCCTACTCCTCTTCTTCCAGAGGAATCCAATTACGAAAGCTCTCCGGGTGTTATGAATGCCACACCATCGTCGACCCTACCAGGTATTTTCTTCTTGATGTTTAGTCTTCTATCACTATTTGATTTTTTATTAGAGTCAAATATAATATTATTTTTCCATTCATTCATTGAGTGAATTTTTTCATTTCTTTTATAAATTTATTTAATAACTATAAATAGAGAATTTGAAACTTGAAATTCAGGTACCCAATTCCGAGGAGTTCTATACGTCCTTGTCCTCACTGTGGAGAGGTGTTCCCGAAGCCTGAAACCTTGGAGCTTCACCAATTAGTTCGCCACGCTGGTATTTTCCCAAATTCTTTCTACTTTTTATGCCTAAAAAATTTATAGATAAATTTCTCTTCTTTATTTTGCTCCCACTTTATGGTAGAGTTAAAAGGGTAATTGAAAATGAGGTTAGATCGCTTCCATGGCCGTGGGATCTTTGCCTTTACTCATCCACCATAGCTCTTCAGGTTTCAATGCCCTTTAATGCTCTATTTACAGCTGGGTTTCTATGGAGTGACGTGTCGTCTTTTGATTCGAGTAAAAAACTGCAGGGCCGTTGACCCAACCGACATACAGATTTGTCGAATAAAATTCATTAATTTTGTTTGTTTATCTGTTTTTATAGTATCCGAGTTGGGTCCTGACGATTCGGGTCGAAACATCGTGGAGATAATTTTCAAGTCAAGCTGGCTGAAAAAGGACCGCCCCATTTGCAAGATCCAACGGATATTAAAGGTCCACAATACCCAACGCACCATCCAACGCTTCGAGGACTGCCGTGATGCAGTGAAGACACGTGCGCTCAACAGCACCAAAAAAAACCCGCGCTGTGCGGCTGACGGCAATGAGCTGTTGAGGTTCCATTGTAGTGCCTTGTTGTGCGACCTCGGCTCACGTGGCTCTACCGGCTTATGCGGCTCGATACCCGGCTGCGGTGTCTGCACCGTCATCCGCCACGGATTCCAGTGCAAGCCCGGTGGGGTCCCTGGCGTACAGACTACTGCCAGTAGCGGTAGGGCCCATGATTCGTTCGGATGCAGCGATGGTCGGCGGCGGGCGATGTTGGTGTGCCGTGTCATCGCCGGGAGAGTCAAGCGTATGGCAGAAGATGGGGCAGGAACAACGACGACAGAGGAGGAGAACATGTCGGCGGCGGGGTCATACGACTCCGTTTCACGACACTCCGGGATGTACTCGAATCTGGAGGAGCTCATCATTTTCAATCCAAAGGCTATCCTTCCTTGTTTCGTCGTCATCTACGAAGCCCTCCAAACCTAATTAGGGTAGGATCAATATATGCTTTAATTTATGTGTTTTTCTTCTAAATCTATAGTTTATAATTTTTATTTTTATTATACTTTTTTTGTGTGGACATTAAATGTGAGCAATAGTAAGGCTATCTTAATATTTAATGTGTGTAAAGAAATTAAAACGATTAATTCTAAAATAAATAATATAGATTTTGACGTTGTATTAATGATAATTTGTGTATATTAACTATGTTATAAATAATTTTATCTATTTAAAGTGAAGTTGCACGTACGGATACGTAACTAGAAAGTTTATCTTTGGGCGGTTTTATTTAATTATTATATTTTTTTTTCCTACAAAATGATTGATTTTTATTTTATTTTTATGGGTGAGTAAGTTATGATGGAGGGGAAGGAGAAAAAAATGATATGGGGTCCACGTGGGAGATTCTTGGGAAACATTTGAAGGAAGAAGTGGGCCCTCCAGGTCTTTGCTTTGCCTTTTTGACCCGAAATTTAGACAGCTCTCCATCGTTCCAATTCGCCTACATTACCAAATAAGCATATATATATATATGTGTGTGTGTGTGAACGTTGAATTATTGAGCATTGGAAAATGATATTCCATGACATTCATTATTTCTTCATTGACACTCATATGCCTACTCCTCGCCTTTGCATTTGCTACCCATTTTTTAAGGACACCCTTTGTTGCCTACTTACATTATATACCTATATCTCTCAATTATGGCCTTGTTATTGAGAATGTTTAGCTACCTTCCTCACATTGCTCACATGGGTTACGAATAGAAACAAGTTTCAATATAAAGTAATAATAATAAAGGGAAAAGATGCGAGATTCTAACATTTTCGCGGGTACTCGTTCCACCTTCTACAATCCACGCAGGACTTTCCAATCTACCCTTCTTCGGAACTTAGTCTTCTCGTTGGCACATCGCCCGTTATCTGGCTTAAATATTGTTCTATTTGAGTTTTCACTTTTCCCATCAAAATTTTTGAAACATATTTGCTAGGGAAAGATTTCAACACCTTTATACAAAAATATATAAAAAAAATGCTTCGTTTTCCTCCCAACTAACGTGGAATCTCACAAATAATGATGTTCATCGAGTCAGGAGTTGAGATTTTAGGTTTGTACAGCATGAATGCAGATGGAATGATGTTCATTCTATGTCGATTTTATGATTGGTGTCATTTTTCCTTTTTTGAATCGGTGTTTTTAAGTCGAGAATTACCCCTAACACATAAATTTAAAATTTGTACAAGTAGTACAAAGCTGGCCTATTGCTATCATACATGGGCCTTGCCGGCCCATGTATAGTTGATGGTCCCTCATTAATTAGATCACCTAACTCAAAAAGCATATTATTAAATAACAAATTATTATTCTCTAAAAAGACTTTAAAAATATATTCATATTTTAAATTTGATTAAATAATATGTTCTAATCTGTTACGGATTTCAGCAACATATAAAGAGAAAAAAAAAAAAAATAGAGCGAGGGTTGTGATGTGATTATTATGGAGTTGCTTTGAAACAAGAAACAAAGTAGAAGACATAATTATAACGTCTTCTACAAATCATTTATTCTAATTTGTCATTTTACAAAAAGGGGTATTTCAGTACACAATTATTGGTTCAAAATCAGTGTTAATTATGGGGCATTTCAGTCCATTGGACCACTTTGACCCTCCCCTAATCCTTTCTTACTCTTTTAAACTAAGTTTAATTAAATTCATAATATCCTTTTGGGCTCCACAAAAGCTTCTCAACACCAAAGCATTGCACCCTAAAGCTCTCCTCCCTAACCCTTCTTTTCATCATTCTACGCATCTTTCTGTCTCTTCAATTTCGACTCATTATTGGTTATTATAATTTTAAAGCGTGGCCCGTTACGTCTGAGTCTCACAATCCACTCCCTTAGGTGCCTAACATCTTCGTCTGCTTCGGCCCTCTGCCCATTACGTATCACCTTTTATAAGCAATACTTTGTTTCCCTCTTCAACCATATGCAATCTCACAATCCACCCCTTTAAGGCTGGGCCCCAACATTCTCGTAATCCACCCTCCTTAGGAACTCAACATCCTTGCCCAACATCCTCGTCCGCTTTGGCCTGTGGCCCGTTACGTATCACCCTTATAAACAATGCTTCGTTCTCCACTAAACCACTCCCCTTAAAGGCGAGGGGCTCAGTATCCTCACTGGCACACCGCTCGATGTCTAGCTTTGATACCATTTATAATAGCCTAACTCTACCACTAGCAAGAAGCCTAGCATACTCGCCCGTAAAGTATCCTAAAGAATACTCTATTTTTCTCTCTAATGACGTGGGAAAGAGTTTAGTATTAAATTTTGTTTATTAGCGTGAGTTGGAATTCTTCATTGAATCAAACCCATATGAATACTTGTTCTACATTCTGAAATACCATAATTAAGGATGCTAAGTGGACTTGTTTAAAAATGGAAATGATTTGAGCACATGGCGTGTGGGCACATAAATTTCAAATATCTATGTTATGTGTACATATATAAACCACCGTACCACACTCATTATATCATTTCACACAAATATGCCCCTTATTACTCCGTCCTCCAACTCTCTAAACTTCTCTTCCATGAAGCTCTTTCATCGAATCCGTAAGATACTCGTTCGCTTCGTGTTCTCGCTCCCGTCTCGCGTGTCGTCGAGACAAAGAACAACCTACGACAAGTTGTATGATCCCCCGAAAACGTCATGCAGCTCCTATTACTCTTCGCACTCCCACTACGATGAGGCCATTGCTGATTGTATCGAGTTCTTCAATAAATCGTCCCAAGATCCAAATACTTTGGTATGATATTGATTGAGAACACGAATGGTATCTCAAATCCGTGTTGAAATATGTTATTAATAAGCGTGTTGTGTTCTTTTATTCTTCTTTGCCACATTTTGGTTCTTGTTCTCTAATTTCATCCAACATTTTAAACAAATTTTCAATGAAAAAAGAAAGAATTCATTATTACATGACACATCTCGCCGTCAAATTGTTCGGTTACAAAGATTTGCATATTTCATTTTTTCTTGGAAAATATGGCGGAGATGAGAGGGATTAATGTCTTCTTCATCTTGTTCTTATCCCTTCTAAAAGACGAGAGCCGCTCCAGTTTCTCAACACCGGTGGGCGGCGGAATGACGAGGTGAGCAACGGCGGCAGGGGGGTTGGCAAAAGTGACATAACGTTTCTTTTGAAACTCCATTGAATCGGTGGCGGCGGCGGCGGCGGCGGCGGCGTCTACAACTTTTATATCTTCAGATTGGTGGAATAATTCTGATTCCTTTAAGAATTGAAGCTCTTTTTTGGTGTTTTCGAGCTCTTCTTGGAGGGATGAAAGGCAATGAGCCATCACCATGCTTTCTTCTTTGGCCTTTTCAAGGCTTTGCTTTGTTTCTTCTAATTCAGCTGCAACGTTCCCTAATTTCAATTCGTTTGTGTCTCTTCGCTGATCTCTGCCATGCATCTATATATGCATATTATTAGAACACCGCCCATAGCAGTAGATCAAACGATTCAAGATTAAATCTTTTGAAAAAAAAAAAAAAAAAAAAACAAAGAATTTGAGG